CACGAATTTTGAGCAGGTTGAGCACGAACCGCAGCACGCCGATGCCGTCGCAGTCGGACACGACCACGGCACCGCCGTTGCGCCGCGCGCGACGGGCGATGGCGCGCACGTCGGCGCTCGTGAGGACGCCGCGTCGAGGATGTTTTAACGATTTTACAATCGCGCGCAGCGCCGCCGTCGCCGTCGCCTTGTCGGGGCCGCCGCCGATGGCGTCGGGCGACGACTTCATCGACTACCTCGCTAACATCGTGTTGCCGTAGACCGCCTTCTCGTAACTCGGTGTTTTACAAAACCCCCTAGCAGCGCCGGGGCGCCTTTTGGTCGTATCCTGGAGCGCGTTCTTTTATAGGACAACGTAGACTTTTTACCGAACGCGAACCCGAACTAAGGAGCGTGCGCACCACCTTAGGACGGTGATGCCTGAGCAATTCTGAAAAGCCGTCAAGCTGGTGCCAAATGCCTGATCGACTTGGCCGGGGGTCGGCGAACTCTCACTCTCGCCCGACGGGGACTCGCGAATCTCGACACCTCCCACGACCCCTCTGCTCGCACATAGTTCCTCCGAAGTCTCGGCCCCTTTGGAGGCCAGCACCCAGTACTAGTGTATATGCACTTGGGGAGCGCGCGGGAGCACGAGCTGCCGATTCCGGACATGTAAGCGCGCGCGTGCGACTCTCGGAGAGGGCGAATTCGGCCGGCCCCTCGAGGCTTTTATTGCGCGCGGCCCTCGACGCAGCACGCGTAGGCGTTGACGTGGTAGAACTCCGCGGCGCACCCCGCCACCTCGCTGTAGGGCCGCAGCCCGCGGAACGGGTTCAGGTGGGCGTCCGCGACGAACTTCGCGCCGCGCTCCCGGAGCACGGCGGCGTCCGCGGCGCCCTCGGCCTCGTTGTAGCCCGTGAAGACGCACGGCGCGCCCTCGTCGAGGAGCAGGTCGAGCGTCGGCGCCCACGCCGCGGCGAAGAGCGGGTCGTGGAGGCCGCCGTGCTGCGCGAGGACGATCGTCGGCGTTCGGAGGCGGCGCCGCGCGTCGTGGTAGTAGGCCCGCGTCTCGCTGAAGAAGACGGGCTTCACAGACCCGCCGTCGCGCTCGTCGGGCGCGCGCGCCTCGGCCCGGTCGCGCGCGAGGTCCGGGCCGACGAACTGGACGCGGAGCTCGTCGACGCGGGGGAGCCAGGCGAAGATCTCCCGGAGGCGGTGCAGGCCCACGAGCTCCGGCGCCGCCGCGCCGACGACGTGGACGACGAGCGACGCCGGGACGTCCCTCCGCTCGAGGAAGCGGACGACGAGCAGCGGCAGCGACAGGCCCTCCGTGAGCATGGCCGCCGGCGGGCCCATGCTCAGGATGTAGGCCGGCACCTCGAAGTCCCAGATCTTCATGTCGAAGTAGGCCTTCCAGCCGCCGGGCAGCGGCGCTCGCGCGGGCGACCGCGACGCGATCGTCAACGGCGCGCCCATGTCCGAGATCATGCCGAAGCACGCGATCTCGAGCATGGCGGCGTCGCAGGACGCTCGCTCGTGCGCCGCGTCGCGGTGGCGGTCGCAGAACGCGGCGCCGTGGCACCGCTGGCACCGCTTCAGGGGGCTCGCCGCGTCGCCGCAGACGGCGCAGCGCGGCTGGTGCAGCCAGCTCTGCAGCGCGTCGTCGCCCTCGGGCAGGCGGCGCAGCGCGAGCCGCGCGGCGACGAGCGACGCGCGCCAGTCGGCCTCCGCCGCGGGCTTGGCGAGCCCCGCGAGCGCGGCGCAGCAGTGCTTGTGCGCGGGCCAGTGCGCCCTGGCGTGCGCTTTGCAGCAGTAGCGCGCGACCTTGCACCGGCCGCACTGGATGAGCTTCGTGCCCGTGAGGCCGCCGCGCTTGCAGACGACGCAGCAGAACGGCAGGCGGCCCGCGTTGAAGACGGGCTCGATGGCCGCGCCCGTGCCGGCGCCGCCGCCCCAGGCGCCGCGCTTCGCCTGCGGCAGCCAGACGTCGCTCGGCAGCCAGGGCGCGTCGTCGGTGGCGCACTCGCTGCGCAGCAGCAGCATCTCCGGCGAGTCGAGCGTCGGCATGGGCTGGCCCGGGTGGGCCATGTATGTAGCTTGCAGCGCGCGAGCCTACCTCTTGTCCATATGCGCTCGCCAACGGCAATTCGCGCAGCTGCGGGCCTACCTCTTGTCCATGCCCGCTCGCCAGCAGCTGAGGTCGATGCATCGCGATGTTGCACTCATTGGTGGAGAGCAAAAGAGGCAGCCCGAGCTCTCCGTCGTCGCGTGAAGCGAGGAAGTAGGCCTCTTTCCCTCGCGATGGCGCCCGACGCGCTGCCGTCGTCGCTGGAGCGCGGCCTGCGCAAGGTCGGCCTCGGGAAGGGCCGGTACGAGGTCTGGAAATGCGCCTTCTCGCCGCGCATGGCCGTGCGCGAGCGGCCGGAGGCCAAGGCGCAGATCGTCGCGACGCTCCAGAAGGACCAACACTTCATCGCCGACGTGAAGAAGGCCAAGGGCGGCACGTGGCTCGTCTTCGGCGCGCCGGAGCTCTGGGGCTGCCGCTGCAACAACAAGAAGGCCTACGTCTGCATCGAGGGCGACTCGGTGGGCCACCCGAACCTGGGCACGCTCGTGGAGCGCGTCGGCGGCGACGAGGACCTGGCGCTGCTCAAGAGCCATTGGGCCTACACGGAGTCGATCCTGCGCGTCGAGGAGGCCGGCGTCGACTGGCACGTCGAGCCCTGCCCCGAGGACTCGCTCCGGTGGTTCGGCCCGTACCGGAACCGGCCGCTCGCGCCGACGCACGACGAGGACGGCGTGCCCCTGGCGCCGACGATCCCCTGGCTGCGGCGCTGGAGCGCGAGCGGCGACGCGCCCGACGGCTCGACGCCGACCATCGACGCGCTGTGCCTCGAGGCCGCGCGCGACGGGCCCGGCAGAGGCCGGAACGCGCGCGTCGAGGCCGACGGCGCGTACCGGCGCAGCGGCGTCGCCCAGTACCGCATCGACGAGGGCCGCCAGCAGCGCCACTTCCGGGACCGGCCCCGGCTCTGCATCGCCATGCTCGTCCGCGGCGCGCCCGCGTCCACGCTCGACAGCTTCTGCCGCTACCACTTCGGCATCGGCTTCGAGCGCATCTTCTTCTTCTTCGACGCGCCCGACGACCCCAGGGAGGCCGACGCCATCGCCGTCGCCGAGCGCTGGACGCGCAAGGTCGCCGTGCCCGGCTCGAGCCACCGGCTCCGCTTCGCCGTCGTCCACAGGTGCGACGCGGCCTGGTGGCGCGACGAGGAGCGGTCCGGCCGGAACCGCCTCTTCGTCCACGGCCGCGACTACAAGACGGCGGAGGACGCGCCGCCCATGGGCGGGCCCTTCGGCCTCGTGCGCAGCGCGCCGAACCCGCTGCAGAAGGCCGCGCGCGACGCCGTCAAGTGGCACGAGGAGGTCCGTGACGTCCAAGCGCGGCAGCAGCTCGTCATCGAGCGCGCCTGCAACGACGCCGCGGAGCTCCACTTCGACTGGATCCTCCACGTCGACGCCGACGAGCTCCTGTATTTCCCGGAGCAAAAGTACCGGACGGACGCGCCGGCGTTCTTCGCGGACGCGCCGGACGCCGCCGACGAAGGGTGATTCAACGTCGCTTCAAGCATGAGCGTTCCGCGCGCGATCGTCCCGGAGATTGGATCTTGACGATTCGGGGCCGCTCCGAGAGATGACCGTTCGTCCAAAGATCAGCCAAAACGAGCGGAAACTGGCCGAGAGGAGAGCCTCTGGGAATGTCTCACCCTCGTGCCGCCCAGGTGCCGGACGCCGTCGAGCAGGTCCACTTCCACAATTTGGAGTGCGTCCCGGAGACGCTCGAGGTCGGCGACTTCTTCAAGGAGGTGAGCCTCTTCAAGGTCAACGAGGCCCTCTTCGCCGGCGGCGACGACGACCACGTCGCGGAGAAGCGGTACCAGGACGCGGTCGACCGCGGCGCGGGAAGAGGGCGCGACGTGCCCAACTTCAAAGGCTCCTCTCTCGGCCGGTTTCCACTCGTTTCGGCTGATTTTTGGACGAGCGATCATCTCTCGGAACGGTCTCGACGCGTGAATGCTTTTTGGGGGAACGCGCGCGCGCGGACCACTCGCGTTGCATCGACGTCGAATCACCCGTTTCCCGCCCAGGTCGACCACGCGTCGAACGACAAGAAGCGGAACCGCGCGCTCCGCGCGCGGGACAAGCGCTACCGCTACATGGCGCGGCGGCGGCGCAAGGGCCACGACGACAGCGAGCTCTTCGAGAACGAGTGGCTGCCGGGCATCAACACGCCCGTCGTCCGCCGCCGCATCCAGATGTCGCGCGACCTCGAGCTCGACCTCCCGGAGCCCAAGGACGACGATGACTCCGACAAGACGTCCGTGTCCAGCGACGACGGCGAGGAGTCGTCGGACAGCGACTCCGACGCCGACGCGAAGACGAAGAAGAAGGACTCGGACGACGGCAAGAAGAAGAAGGAGCCCGAGACGTTCATGCACTTCAACGCCTACTCGAACGGCAAGGCCGCGGCGCGGCTCCACCCGCGCAAGCCGCCGGTCCCGCTGGGCGTGCACCGCATGGGCACCAGCGAGGGCGAGACGCCCCTCACGGCGACGATGGACTACGTCTACTGCCCCGTCGTCCTCCACTACACGAACTGCGGCTTCACGAACTGGAAGCGCAAGTACGAGATCCTGACGACGGGCCACAAGACGGCCGACGGCGCCTTCTCGCTGAAGAAGGGCGGCATCAAGACCGTGCGGTCCCACCTCGCCGCGCGCGCGATCGCGATGCGCGGCGGCGGCCGCTTCGACCGCGACATGGAGAAGTTCTACCGCACCTTCATCATGGGCAACGAGTGCGGCGAGCTCGCCCACTTCGCCCAGCACGGCATCGTCGTGCGCGTCGGCTGGATCGCCGCGTTCCTCGCGGAGCTGACCGCGCGCGACGAGCGCGCGCTGCTCGCGCTCGAGGAGGAGGAGCTCGTGCCCCTGCCGGAGCCGCCGCGGAAGCCCGCGGCGGTCCTCCCGAAGGCGCCGCCGCCGGCGACGCTCAAGCCCAAGCCCAAGCCGCCGCGCGAGCCGGAGCCCGCGACGCGCGCGCTCGCGCCGCCGCCGGCGACGCTCAACCCGCCGGGCTCCTTCGCCGACTTCATGAAGGCCCGCAAGAAGGCCGCGCAGTAAACGGCGCGCTTAGGTGAGGTGGGGCAGCACGTAGGCCGCGATGGTGGCGCGGTCGCCCGTCCAGGACCCGTGGGACGCGTTCGGCACGACCGTCACGTTCAACCGGCCCGACTCCGCGAGCGTCCGCAGCCCGAAGGCGTCGGTCGCGTAAAAGTCCTGGTCCTCCATGGGCGCGATGGCCCCCGACGCGTCGGCGGCGCCGAAGACGGCGCTCTGCCAGGGCTCGATGCCGCCGTCGTAGGCCGGGCCGGACCCGACGCAGAGGACGACCTTCTCGAGCCGCAGGAAGTTGGCCTTCATGGCCGCCGTCGCCTTGTCCAGGAAGTTGGGCAGGAAGACGTTGCCCTCGTCGAAGCAGTGGTCGAAGAGGCCGCAGTCGTCGAGGTGGTTCGGGTCGCGCCACATGTTCGCGACGGACAATTTCTGGCCCGCCCACGTGTACGCGACGTGGTACGCCTCCTGTGCCGTGACGTTCTCGAGGAGGGGCACGTCGTGGACGACGTCCTTGAAGAAGTCGGGGCCGAAGACGCCGGCCTGGGGGCCCGCGAGGGACACGAAGGTCCTCGCGGCGTGGTCGTCCATCAGCATCAGCGCCGCGCGACAGATCAAGCCGCCCTGGCTCTTGCAGACGACGTGGTACCCCTCGGCGTAGAGCGTCGCGTTCGCGGCGACGGCGGCGCGCACGGCGCCGGCGACGGCGGCGGCCTGGTCGTTGAGGTTCGTCAGGCCGTCGGGGAGGTCCTCGTAGAGCTTGAAGCTCGTCAGCACCGTGCCCGGGTGGGCCGCCTCCGCCAGCTCCCGGATCGTGTCCATCTCGCCGGACCCGGACCCGATGCCGTGCATCATGAACACGGGCAGGTAGGCGCGGACCGCCGGGACGAGGCAGAGGACGCGGAGGAGGAGCGCCATCATCGGAACGGGGCAGCCTTTTACTTCTGGTTCAAGCAAGCGCGCGCAGTTTGATTTCAGGTTCGGCGCGATTTCAAAGCTCCGGTGCTGCCCGAGAGCTGCGCTCGAACAACACCCATGGCGTGCTTCTCGACGACGGACCAGAAGATCGAGATGCTCGTGTCCAAGTGCACGGAGCGCTACGCGACGGCGCGCGAGGCCTACCGCTACCTCGACGAGACCAACAACGGGTTCATCACGGCGCTCGACATGCAGGTCGTCTTCCGCCGCCTGCTCCAGTTCGACCTGGACGTCGGTGACGCCCAGGACATCCTGGATCGCTTCGCGGGCCACCGGGGCGCGGCGCGGCTCGCCTACGACGCCTTCGCACGCGCGTACCACCGCTCGGGCGTGCCGCCCGGGGCGGGACAAGGGTGATTCAACGTCGCTTCAACGTGAGTGTTCCGCGCGCGCGCGTTTCGAAACCAGCACCCACGCTTCGAGAGCGCTCCGAGAGATGATCGCTCGTCCAAAAATTAGCCGAAACGAGCGGAAAACGGCCGCGAAAGGAGCCTTTGAAGTTGGGAATGTCGCACCCTTTTCCTGCCCAGGTGCCGCCGCCGCCGAGCCCGCCGCCCGCGGGGCCGCCGTCGCCGCCGTCGACGGTCGCGCTGTCGCACCTCGAGAAGATCGACGTCGCCTTCGCCCAGGCCCTGGAGAGCCGCGTCGACTCGCTGCGGGCCGCGTTCCTATCGCTCGACACGCACCGGACGGGCTTCATCTCCTTCGACGAGCTCGCGGACGCGCTCACCAAGTTCGGCGTCGTCGTCTCGGGCGAGGAGACGCGCGCCCTCTGCGACCTCTACGACGTCGCCCACGACGGCAAGATCTCCTACGCCGAGTTCGTCAACCGCGCCGCGCTCCGCGACCGGCCCTACGCGCTGCACCTCGACCGCCAGCAGGACGACCTCCTCGCCGCCGGGGAGGGGGAGGCCGCCGCGTGCTAGAGGGGCGCACCAAAAACGCGAGGCCTCCACGCCTGCAGCGTCGTTCCCGCAGCACCGCTGATCTAATTTACGGGCTGCAAATCGTGTTCAACGAGTTGGTTGACTCTTTGTGCCTGCGCCGGTGCTCGCTTGCCGAAGCATGGCCGCGTCGTCGCCGCGCTCGTGCCGTCGACGACGCGGCGGGCGCCGCTGCGCACGGTCGCGCGCGCCGTGTCCGACGAGGCGACGCGCCTCAAGGCGGAGATCGAGCAGCTGACCCTGCTCAAGGAGGTGGAGCAGCTGCGCAAGGAGATCGCGGCGGACGAGAAGGAGTACGAGCTGCTCGCGGCCGAGGACCGGGAGCGCCGCGCGGCCGAGGACGAGCGGAAGGAGGCGCTCCGGACGTCGAAGCGCGCGGAGAAGGACGCGGCGCGGAGCCGGCAGAAGCGCGACGCCGTGCTCCGCCAGTGCGTGGACCAGAACGCGACGGAGGTGTCGCTCGTGCTGCTCAACGACGGCGTCAACAAGCGCGCCCGCGTGCAGGAGATCCTGGTCAAGGAGCTGCGCCTCGACCCGGGGGAGGCCGAGGCGTTGATGATGAAGGCGCACCGCAACGGCGCGGGCCTCGTCAAGACCTACGCGACGCGGAGCGACGACCTCGACGCGGCCTACGCGTCCTACGCCAAGCTCGCGGACGCGGGCCTCAACGTGCGCTTCGAGGCCGCGGGCGGCGACGTCACGGACGCGGCCGAGGTCGAGCGCATCGCGGAATTGCGGGACCTCGGGCAGCAATTGAAGGATTACAACATCGACATCCTCAACGACGACGAGACGGACCTGAACCTGCCGACGACGGCGTCCTGTGGCCGCGACGATTTTCGAGAGATTTGGGGCGGGAAACCAATGGAACGTCGTCACCGTCGCGCTTCGTAGGCCGACGACCGTCGCGCTCAACGCCGTCGTCGCGGTCGTCACGGGCCTCCTCTTCTCCGCGGCGTGGACCGTCGGCGGCGCGCTCGGCGAGGCCGCGGGCTCGAGCCTCGGCGGGGCGCCGCCCTTCTAGGGCGGGGGGGCTAACGGGCTTGCAGAGCTTACTTCTTGAAGAAGCCGAACATGGACTTCTTCTTCTTCTTCGCCTCCGGGCTCGAGCCCGCGGGCGACGCGAGGACGAGGCCCGCCGTCGACGGGTCGGGCGCGGGCGCCGCGGCGGGCGCCTCCGCGGGCGCCTCGGCGGGCGGCGCCTCGGCGGCGGCCGGCGGCGGCGCCTGGGCGAGGGGCGCCTCGGGCTCGGAGTCGTCGTCGCCGGGCGCGTCGAGCATGCGGCCGCGGCCGCCGTCGCCGGCCGCGAGGGCGCTGTGCGCCGCGCGGCCGACGCGGCCGCCGCTCCGCGACGACGCGTTGGCGCTCTGCTTGCGGAGCACGTCGACGTACGCGTCGCGGCAGCTCGCGAGGAAATTCTCGACGCGGACGGACTGGCCGAAGTTCGCCGCGACGGCCGCGAGGTAGTCGCGGCGGAACTCGGGCAGCACCTCCGCGAGCCCGTCGGCGAAGGCGTCGCAGGGCAGCTCCGGGCTGCCCCGGAACTGTTTTTCGACCGCGTCCTCGCGGACGACGACCAAGGTCGCCACCGCGCGCGTGCCGTCCGCGGGCGCCTCGCCGCCCCAGCCGTGGCAGCGCTCGCGCAATGTTTGGGCCAGGGCGTGGAGCTTCTCCTCGTCGCCGCGGTGGTTCGCGAGCAGCTCCCACTTGAGGGCGAGGAGCCGCTCGTCCGACGCCTTGAGGCACTCGTCCTTCATGGCCACCATCGTCGCGAGCATGTCGACCTTGCACTCGAGCTTCGCCTTGGCCTCCTCGAGGAGCCGCACCTGCTTCGACTCGCGCTTCTCCTCCTTCGACGCCGACGACGCCGACGCCTTGGACTTGCTGCCCATTGGTGGATAGCTAACCGCTGCGGCGACTGCAAGTTGAAGGTCAACGACCCCTAATCGCCGCGGCGCGCGGAGAGCTGAAGTGTCTGGCGCGTGCACCCGCGCCGCGCTGCCTGCATGAGCATGGGCAATGTGGTGGCCCGCCGCTTGGCCATGGGCGCCCTCTCGGGCGCCATGGTCATGCACGAGTCTCGCGGGCTTTCGACCGCCTCCGCGGAGCGCCTGAAGCCGCCCGTCGCCGCGCGCGTGCCCAAGGCCGTCAAGTTCGGCGTCGTCGCCGGCGAGGACCGCGGCGTCGAGCCCATGGACCCGCCCGCGACGCTCGTCGACAACTACTTCTGGCTCCGCGACGACAGCCGCACGGACGAGACGATCCTCGCGCACCTCCGCGCGGAGAACGCGTTTACGGAGGCGGCGACGGGCCACCTCGCCGCCTTCCGCGCGAAGCTCTACGACGAGCTGCTGAGCCGCGTGCAGGAGGACGACGACACGCCGCCCTACAAGCTCGGCGACTGGCTCTACTTCTCGCGCACGGTCAAGGGCCTGAGCTACCGCCAGTACCTCCGGCGGCCCGTCGGGCGGCGGCGTCCCGATGTTCGAGAGCTTTCGACCGGGAAAAAATCGTCACCGACGCGTGTGGTAGGTCGGCGGCGGCCCCGACGAGCTCTACCTCGACGTCAACGAGGTCGCCAAGACGCTGCCGAACCCGAAGCAGTGCGACGTCCACGAGGTCGAGGTGTCGCCCGACGGCTCCCAGGTCGCCTTCGCCGTCGACGGCACGGGCTACGAGACCTACGACGTCGTCGTGCGGCAGCTGACGAACGACGGCGCCGACGAGACGATCGCGAAGACCCTCGGCGGCATCGCCTGGGCGAGCGAAAAAGAGTTCTACTACGTCACGGAGGACGCGGCCCACCGGCCCTACCGCGTCTGGAAGCACGTGCTGGGCACGCCCCAGGCCGACGACGCGCTCGTCTTCGAGGAGCCCGACGAGATGTTCAACGTCGGCTGCTGGCGCGACGCGGACGGCTCGACGATCTTCATCGAGTCCGAGTCCAAGGAGACGACGGAGCTGCGCTTCATCTCGCTAGAAGACGGCGGCGGCGCGCCGACGGTCGTGCGGCCGCGCGAGTTCGGCGTCCGCTACGACGCGGCGTCGCACGCGCCGTCGAACTCGCTGATCCTCACGTCGAACGTCGACGGCTTCCGGAACCGCGCGCTCTTCAAGGCGTCCAAGGACGCCCCGGGGACCTGGGCGCTCCTGAGCGACGGCGCGGGCGCCGCCGTGCTCCCGCACGACGAGTCGCGGAGCCTGGGCGCGCCGCGCGCGTTCAAGGACTTCGTCGCCGTCCGCGGCCGCGAGGACGGTTTCACGCAGATCTGGACCGTGCCCCTCGACGGCGCCGTCGCCGCGGCCCCGGCGACGCGCGTCAAGTTCGACGCCGACGCGTTCACCGCGTCCCTCGGCGCGAACGCGGAGTTCGACAACGGCGGCGTCCTCCGCGTCCGCTACGGGTCCGTGACGACGCCGTCGTCGACGCTCGACTACGACGTCGCGTCGACGGCGTTTACAACCGTAAAAGTCCAGCCCGTGCCCAACTACGACGAGGCCCTCTACGCCACGGAGCGCGTCGAGGTCCCGAGCCGCGACGGGACGACGAAGATCCCCGTGACGCTGCTCTGGCGCAAGGACAAGCGGGTCGCGGGCGAGCCCATGCCCACGCACCTCTACGGCTACGGCTCCTACGGCATCTGCATGGACCCGTCCTTCTCGTCGTCGCGCTTCGCGCTCGTGGACCGGGGCATCTGCTACGCGATCGCGCACGTCCGCGGCGGCGGCGAGATGGGCCACAACCTGTGGTACGAGCAGCAGGGCAAGTACCTCGCGAAGAAGAACACGTTCTTCGACTTCGTCGACGTCGCGGCGCACCTCAAGGCGACGGGCGTGGCGTCCGAGATGAGCTGCGAGGGCCGGTCCGCGGGCGGGCTCCTCGTGGGCAACGCGGTGAACCTGGCGCCGGACGCGTTCTGCGCGTGCGTCGCGGGCGTGCCCTTCGTCGACCTCATGGTCACCATGTGCGACCCGTCGATCCCGCTGACGACGGAGGAGTGGGAGGAGTGGGGCAACCCGAACAACGCCAAGTACTTCCAGTACATGCTCGAGTACTCGCCCATCGACAACGTCGCGCCGGGCGTCACGTACCCGAAGATGCTCCTCGTCTCCGGCCTCAACGACCCGCGCGTCGCCTACTGGGAGCCGGCGAAGTGGGCCCAGGTCCTCCGCCACGACGTCGCGAACCCGGACGACGTCCTCCTCAAGATGGACATGGCCGCGGGCCACTTCTCCGCCGCGGACCGCTACCGCTACCTCCGCGAGCTCGCCTTCGACTACGCCTGGCTCCTCGACGTCTTCGGCAAGGCCGAGTAGGGCCCCTAAGTATGTGGCAAGGACGCGGCTGGCGCGCAAGGCCGAGTAGGGTCAGCGGTTCTAAGTATGTGACGCGGGTGCGGCTGGCGCGCGCGGCCTTATTCCAAGTGTTACTTCCCCCGAACGGCCGGGAATCGCCGATGCGCGTCGAAATCTTCTTCGAACACGCGCCGAAACTTTGAACGTCGAGATGGCCAATGAGCGGGCATGTCGGGCGGCCCGCTGAACCTGCAGGCCTTCTGGACCACTGTCTCTGCCGAAGTCGCGCGCAACTTGAGGTGCCGCGAGCCCGTCAGCCCGCTGCAGCACACGCTGTGGCCGTCTACACTCGTTTCTAGCGCCGCTGCGGATCGCCGAACACCATGTCGGCGCTCAGCAAGCTCACGAGCTGGTTGCGCGGCTCCAGGAAGGCGTCCGAGGACGCCGGCGACGAAAGCGGCGCGCAGCCGAGCGGAGCGTTAAGTTTCGGCGATGTCGCTGAGCTTTACCGGCACTACAAGGCCTCGAGCGAGCACGTGCTGCCCGGCGGCGTCGCCGTCGAGGGCGGCGCGGCCCCGGCCGTCGCCGTCGGGTCCTGGTCCGGGGCGGCGTACGACGCGCGCGGCGACGGCGGCGGCGCCGCGGCTTCCGCGGTCGCGTTCGTCATGTGGCGCTACGTGGGCCTCGAGGACGGCCTCCTGGGCCTCGCGCGCGGCGGCGCCGTCGCGCCGCTCAAGCTCTCCGGCCTGCAGGACGCCACCGCCGGCGCCTGGCTCGCCGCGGGCCGCGCGGCCGTCGCCGGCGCGCCCGCGGCGGCCGCCGTCGCGGCCGCGGCCGCGGAGGAGGCGCCGGCCCACGCCGCGATCCTCCGCGTCGGCGCCGCCGGCGGCCCCGAGGCGCGCCGCGCCTTCGCGACCTGGGCGACGGCGCTCCTCGCGGCCGGCGAAGCGCAGTGGGTCGTCGAGTTCGCCGACGACGGAACCGTCCGCGCCGCGCGCCGGGCCGACGCCAAGGACGACGGCGCCGCGGACCGGCTCGCGGGCCACGTCGGCGGCGCCCTCGGTGCCCTGCGCGGCGCGCCGGCGGACGCGCCCGCGGCCCGCCTCGCCTACCTGCCGCCGGCGGAGCTCGAGGCGCTCCAGACCACGTTCCAGCCGCCGGCGCTCGACGTGCCCGCGCGGGGCCTGCCGCACCTCGTCGCCCTCGCCGCGGGCCTCGACGGCGCCGGCGAGGCCGTCGTCGTCTCCAAGGGCCGCGGCGGCTTCGAGCGCTGGTCCTACGGCCGCGTGCTCCGCGCCGCGGGCGCGATCGCCGACGCGCTCGTCGAGCGCGGCGCGGGCCCGGGCTCCTACGTCGGCGTGCTCCTCGACCGGGGCCCCGAGCTCGTCGCGGGCCTCCTCGGCGTCCTCGCGTCGGGCGCGGCCTACGTGCCGCTGGACAAGGTCTACCCGACGAACCGGTTGGAGGCCATGCTCGAGGATTCCAAGGCGGTCGTCACGATCACGGCGGGCGACCTCGGCGCGAAGATCGCGGGCTTCGCCCAGTTGGACGTGGGCACGCTGGACCTGACGAAGGAGCTGCCCGTCGACGAAGACGCCGAGGACGCGTCCGAGCGCTGGTTCGGGACGCGCCTGGCCAAGTGCACCCGCGACGACGTCGCCTACTGCCTCTTCACGTCCGGCTCCACGGGCCGCCCCAAGGGCGTGCCCATCGCCCACGGGTCGCTGACGAATTTGCTGTTGAGCTTCGCGGCGGACGTGCCCGAGCTCGGCGGGCGGTCGTCGGACGGGCGGCTCCGGTCGCACGCGTCGGAGTTGCTCATGGGCTCGGACGTCGGCGGCGGCGCGAACCTCAAGAAGGTCGCGAGCGGCGGGCTGCTCGTGGACGACGCGGCGGCCATGGGCACGCTCCTGGCGGTGACGACGGTGTGCTTCGACATCGCCGGTCTCGAGCTCTTCCTGCCCCTGATCGTCGGCGCGGCCGTCGCGGTCGCGCGCGAGGACGAGGCGCGCGACCCGGCGGCGCTGCGCTACCTCATCGACGCCCTCGACGTCGACGTCCTGCAGGCGACGCCCGCGAGCTGGCGCGTGCTCGTCGACGACGGCTGGATGGGCGACGCGAAGCTCGTCGCGCTCTGCGGCGGCGAGGCGCTGCCCGGCGACCTCGCGAACGCGCTCGCGCCCAAGGTCAAGACGCTGCTCAACGTCTACGGCCCCACGGAGGCGACGATCTGGTCGACGCGCCACGCCGTGGCGACGGACGGCTTCTACCCCGTGGGCTGCGTCGGCGCGCCCTGCCGCAACAACTCGGCGCACGTGCTCGACGGCCACGGCGAGCTCCGGCCCGTGGGCGTGCCCGGCGAGCTCGCGCTCGGCGGCTCCGGCCTCAGCCCGGGCTACCTCCACCGGCCGGACCTGTCCGAGGGCCGCTTCGTCGCGCCCGCGGCGACGTTGGTGGAGCCGGCGTACTGGCAGCCGCCGGGCCACCCCGGCGGCTCCGTCAAACGCCTCTACCGCACGGGCGACCTCTGCGTGCGCCTCCCCTGCGGCCGCCTCGAGTGCCTCGGCCGCATCGACTCGCAGGTCAAGATCCGCGGGTTTCGGGTGGAATTGGGCGACGTCGAGGCGGCTTTGAGTTCCGCGCCGGCCGTCGCCGCCGCGGCCGTGTCCGCGCGCGCGCCGCCGGGCAGCGAGGCCAAGGAGCTCGTCGCCTACGTCGTGCCGCGGCCCGCCTGGGGCGGCGACTTCGGCGCCGAGGCCAAGGGCGACCGCGGCCCGGACGACGGCGACGACGGCGACGACGACGACGACGGCGACGCGGACGCGGACGTCGCCGAGGAGTGGGGCGCGGTCTACGACAGCGCCTACGCGGCGGCCGACGCCGTCACCGACGACCCGGCGCTCAACTTTAGCGGCTACGGCGACTCCTTCGACCCGGGCCACATCCACGACCCGCCGACGGTCGCTGAGTGGGCCGACTGGACGGAGGCGCGCGTCGCCGAGTGCTGCGGCCACCCGAAGCGCATCCTCGAGCTCGGCTGCGGCAACGGCATGATCATGCTGCGGCTTCTACCGTCGTGCGACCGCTACGTGGGCACGGACCTCTCGGGCGAGGCGCTGGGCTACGTGCGCCGCGTGCTCGACGGCGCGGACAAGTACCGGGCGCAGGCGCCCAAGGCGCGCCTGGCCAAGTGCGGCGCCCACGACGCGCGGCGCTTCGCCGACGAAGCGTGCGACGCCGTGGTCTGCAACGGCGTCGCCATGTACTTCCCCGGCGCGCGCTATACTTTACGCGTCTGCCGGTCGATGCTCGAGGCGCTCGCGCCCGGCGGCGTCGCCTTCCTCGGCGACTTCCGGGACCGCGGCGTCGCGGCGCCCTTCCACGCGGCGCTCGCGCTCGCCAAGGCGCGGCGGGCCGCGTCCGCGGGCCGCCTCGCGTCCTGCGGCGCGGACTGCACGCCGGTGGACGCGAACGGTTTGTCCGCGTCGGAGCTCGCGCGGCTCGCGCGCCTGTCCTACGCGCGCGACAAGGAGCTGCTCATCGACCAGCGGCTCTTCGTCGACGCGCTCAAAGCGGGCGCCCTCGGCGACGGCTGCGTCCGCGTCGACGTCGAGGTGAAGCGCGGCCGCGTGCGCTCGGAGTTCGCGGGGTTCCGCGGCGACCTCTGGCTCACCAAGGCCGGCGGCGACGCCCTCGCCTACGAGGCCGCGCCGGCCTTCGTCGCCTGGGACGGCGAGGACGCGGACGCCGTCGCGGCCGCGTTGGAGGGGAAGGACGTCTACCTGCTCGCGGGCGCGCCGGACGCGCGCCTCGCCTTCGAGCGCGAGCTGTTGGCGCTCCTCGAGAGCGGCGCGGACCGCGGCGCGGAGGCGCTGGCCGTGGAGGCCAAGGTCGCCGCCCGGGTCCAGCCGGGCCTCGAGCCCGACGACCTCTATGAGCTCGGCGACAGGTTGGGCTTCGACGTCGCGGTCTGCCGCTCCGCGGGCGCCGCGGGCCCGGGCGCGTGCGCGCGCGGCGCGGCGCTCGACGTCCTCTTCGCGCGGCGCCGGGGCGGCGAGCCCAAGGGCGCCGCGAAGCGGCGCTTCGCGCCCCTCGTGGAGCTCTCCGCGGCGCGCTTCGGCGAGCCGGCCGGGCCGTGGGCGAGCTACACGAACGAGCTCCGCGCGGCGGACCGCAAGGCCGCGGCGCGCGCGGAGGAGTTCGGCGCGCCGGCGACGCCCGCGCCCCTGGACGCCTACCTCGAAACGTCGCTGCGGTCGTCGCTCGCCGCGACCCTCCCGCGCTACATGGTGCCGACGCGCTTCGTCGCCGTGGACAAGCTGCCGATGACGGGCAACGGCAAGGTCGACCGCAAGGCGCTGCCCGACCCGCCCAAGGCCGTCGCAAACGCCGGCGGCGCCGAGGCGGCCCTCGGCGGGCCGCCGGCGACGCCGTCGGAGGTCGCCGTCGCCGAGCTCTGGCGCGCGGTGCTCGACCTCGGCGCCGGCCGGCCGCTCGGCCGCGGCGACTCGTTCAACGGCGTCGGCGGCAACTCGCTGCTGGCGGTCCAGGTCGCGAAGCGGTCGCTGGGCGCGCTCGGCGTGCGCCTCGATCTCGGCGACCTCGTCCAGGCGCCGGACCTCGCGGCGCTCGCGGCCCTCGCGGACGCTAAGCGGGCCGCGGGGGTCGCCGAGGAGGCGGACGACGACGACCCGGAGACCGTCGGCGTCGTCGTCGAGGACATCGCGCTGGGCCCGCTCCGGTGCCGCGTCTGGCGGCCGGCGTCGGGGCCGCCGGGCCCGGCCTGCGTCTGCGTCGAGCCCTACCGCTTCGCCGACGCGACGGCGGAGCACGACGCGGCGACGTGGCCCTACTTTGCGGCGCGCGGCGTCGCCGTCGTCCGCGTGGACTGCCGCGGCGTCGGCGAGAGCGAAGGAGTGCTGGACCGCGAGTACGGCGCCGAGCAGACGGCCGACGCCGCGGACGCCGTGGAGCGCGTCGCGGCGCTCGACTTCTGCGACGGGTCCGTCGTGCTCGTGGGGTCGTCGTGGGCGGGCTTTGTCGCGCTGCAGGTCGCGGCGCTGCCGCGGCCGCCGAAGGCCTTGAAGGCCGTCGTCGCCTGCGCGGCGACGCACCGCCGCGAGCGCGACGACATGCACAAGCGCGGCGGCTGCGTGCTCTCGGAGCAGCACTCCTGGGGCACGTGGCTCGGTTTGGTCCAGGCCCAGCCGCCGGGCCCGCCGCCGGCGGACGCCGCGGCGCGCGGCGCCTGGAAGGACGCGTGGCGGACGCGGCTCGACGCGCTGCCGGGCCCGGCGGAGGCCCAGTGGCTCGACGACGAGGACTGGGCCGCGGGGTCGCCCGCGGCGGACG